GGAGTTATGACAGTTTTTGAAGTGGAGAAGGGGTTGCAGGGTGTTGTGAGTCTGGTCATTATGATCCTTTTTATTCTTGTCTTTATTTTTCTCTTCTCTTTTTCTTTCCTTTTCTTTTCCTCTTCTTTCTCTTTTCCTCCCTCTCCCCTCTTTCTTTTCTCTTATTACCCAGCCCGGTACGACGGCTTGGGCAGCCCGTTAAAAACCGTCAGGGGAGGGGCAGGGGAGGGAAGCATAACTGTGGAAAGTCCTTCCTTAAACGGTACTTAAGTTGATCAGTTCTGAAAAATATAAATTACATTATATTTAAATAAAATTCAAGTTAAAGTTTTGGCCTCAACACAAGAAATATTTCATAGTTTTTATGTATATTAAATTTACATCTTATTTACCAATTTGTCTATTAATTGCTTTTGCTAATAGTCTATTTACACATAATAATCTAACTATTTACTGCCATGGTTTCCTAATACTGCATAATTTCAACATTTCTAATTTTTTTTAAATTGTGTTTTGATTTCTTAATATTTCTTACCTGTAATTTGTCATTTCAAGCCCTTCATGATTTTTAACAATTTTTGAAAACAACTGAAGTAACTTGGTCATCCTTAAAATCTCATGGTTCTTGATAATTCGTTGCTGGATGATTATCTCAGAGAAAATTTTGTACGACTTATTGTTGGTCCTCATCGGTTCTAAGCAGATAAATAAGGGCAAATTGTTAGAATTTCACTCCCATCCGCATCAAAGATTTGGGGAATATTGATGCAGGAATAAAAAAAAAAAAACATTTTTTACCGCATTAATTATTTTAACAGCTTAAAAAAAACAATGCAATTTTGTGACTGGAAGTATACTTTCTTTAAAAACCAATAAAATAAAATTACTTTTTACACAATATGTACAATATTCTTTGCCAAATAAAAACAGACCCTCCCAAGCTAACAATATTATGTTATAAGAACGTTATGATAATTTTACAGTTCAATTGGTGATAAAAATGTTATTTTATAGAACCATTATGTACATACTTACAACCTC